AGGGGAACCCCTTCTACGGCAAGTACCGCCGCAAGATCCAGGAGCTGCGCAGGTGCGCGGGAGGCCGCGGGCCGCGCTCGGGGGCGGCCGTGCGGCCGGGGAGGGGGTTTCCCAGGTCGGGGGCACGGCCATGGAGGGGGTTGAGGAAAGGAAGCTCGTGACTTATTGTCACCTCCTGCCTTCATCCATAGAATAACGCCAGCTCAAACCGAACACTCCATGGATTTCATTCCGTAGGAGCCACGGCAGTATCTGTGCTGGGTGTAAAAGGGGTAGAGAACGCGAGCCCAAGCTACCGGAGGTGTTGGTAAAGGGCAACTGATGTTAAATAACCTGTGTTATTAACAGCCTATTTCCTGATTCAGATCCAGCCCAGAGGTGTTTGAATCCCGCCTGGAGAAAAGAAATGAAGTGAAAAAGCAGCCCTTGGGGTATTCCAAACAAGCGGAATTTGTCAGGTGTATGGAGGAAAAGGCAAGGCCCATATTCTATGCAGTTCACACATATTGAAGTTATAGTGAAGTTATAGTTTTGTCATTTATGTTGTGTCTGCCTCACACTGTGAATATAGAGCATTCTGCCAGGTAACAACCCATGTTTCACTCTCTGGTGCCTAAAAACATCATTTTGTATTCAATATATTATTTTACAAATTTTTGAGGTTGCTCTTCTATTCCCTTTGGGTAATACAGACATTACCCAGTAAGGAGATGCTTTGTAATATGCTTGAGCATGAAATAGTTTTAACTTATTTAATAGTTTAACGTATTCTGCATTATTTGGCCAGATGCAGTGATACGGTCTTGCTTTTATCCTGTAGTAAATGGAAAAAAATGTATATTAGCACTAGGTCCAGAATGCTCAACGACCTTATAATCCATAATTCTCATGAACTTACTCTTCTTATTTACTATCAGTAATTTATTTTAACAAAGCAAATTTCAAGTATCTTTATTACAAAGATGAACTCATATTTCAAAAATGCTTTTGAGGCACATGCTGTGCATGGCTGGATAGATGGTTAAAATTTGTTATTAAAGTATTATGAAAGTTAAAAGCATGTTTAATTCTAGGCAGACACCTTGGGTACAAAGACATCGAAGGGACAATTCACAAAAGATAAGGTAAGGCAAATAAACCTGAGTTTTAGGAAGGAACATACTGTCAAAAGAAGCATGCATGTTAACTTGGATTGTTACCATCAATGGTTTAACCAAGAGTTTCTTGAAACAGAAGAATATTTGTTATGCTGTCCTTCATTGTAATGTTTTACATAGTGTTGGAGTCATGTTCAAGCCTGAAAACTTAGGACACTCCAAGCTTTTCTTATCTGGTCCTTTGTCTTTGAAATTCTGGAACTTCCAACTGCTTGGAATATCTGTACTGAATGCCCATAGTAATAAATTAAGAAAGGTTGAGCTGATTTTACTTCATAAAGACCACTTTCCAAAGTTCAGCCAGCAGAGGGACAGGAGAGTGGTTTTATTCTCAGTAAGATTTTTGTTTTTCATTAAACTTTCTGCATAAAGCTGCCAACACAGCCTGTGTCTGAAATGGCTGAAGGAGAAAGGCTGCAGTTCATCTTGCAGCTGCTGTTAGAGAACTGCACTGTTGGAGCAAAGTGTATTATGTATCCTGACAGAATTTCCTGTATCCTTTAGTGCATGAATCCACTCTTCAGTGGGGTAGTATTTGTGATTTACCAATTTATTTGGCAATTAGGAGTATTCAGATGGAGTGTGGATTCATGTGAAATGTTCCCATGTTTTGCTTTTGCTGCCTGTAATCACACCCATTCATTTTGTGTTGTCACATGAACCAGAAAACATGTCCTTATGCCAGATTTCTTACACCCTGTCTTGCAGACACTCGATTCGATTCTTCATGTTGAGATGGTGAAAGAAAAATCAGCAGAGGAAATAAAACAGGTAATGGATTTAAATGGAATGAAGCTTGTTCTGCATCTGTATGTTGTGATCAAAAGCAGTGTAACTGAAAAATGGAACATGGATATAGCTGTGTATTTTTAAGAAACACATTCATATACATGCCTGTTTGAAGGTTTGCAGGCAGGTAAAGAGATCCTGGCAGTGGCAGGGGTCTTGCTGGGACCAGCATGTCCACAGGAGCCTCCTCTCAGGATTTCTGGAGCAGAAACCTAACTGCTTTCTTGCTGTTAAAGAACCAATTTTCTGCTTTGCAGAGGATGGTGTCAGTTCACTGACTTACAGCATGAAGCTATTACTTACAACTGACAAGAATTTGATAGGTCCTAAGTTTCCTTCCAACTCTTCTGTTTCTGTTTTTACTGATAATTCTCATTAGTTATATAGGGCTGAAAAAGGTCTTGGACCCTGGGTTTTTACTTGTCCGTTTATTAAGGACTTTGTGGAACCTTTATGTAGATACCAGCAACTCCTATGGGAGGAAAAAGATTATGTGAACACGCTCGTTATACAAATGCCCATCTTCTGTTGAAAAAGTTCTTAATGTTCTTTGTATATATTTAAAAAAAACCAAAACAACCACCATTCCAAAGGTCGTTAGCATGATGTAAAGAATGCCAGAGTACTTCTCATAACTAATAAATCTTGAGCTCACTGCTCGTTTCTGTTAGCTGGTTGAAATCTGGCGCATGGTGCGAGTACTGGGGAGAGTCTAGTGCGTTAGCGGGAAAGTCAGTCAGGCTTGATCAAAAATAGATGAAAAATGAACTGTTGAAGTGCTTACAAAGACTAGTTCAGAAGTGGCATTCTTTTTAAAGCATGTAATCTTATTTTTGGATGCGAGTTTTTAATTTCTGAGTTTTAGTTTTGATTTCCTTTCTTTCCAACAGATTTGGAATGAGTATTTTTCTGCAAAAGACACGGTTTATGCTGTTATTCCTGTAAGTAATTCTGTTTTACTTAACGCACTCTAGAGGTCAGTGTGCAGAAACTCTCTGGCTCTGATTCTGTTGCTTTTAAAGAAAGAAAATGAGGTTCCATTGAAAGAAAATAAGATTCCAAGAACTAACTTTCTTTTCCAGGCTGAGTGATGTACTCATGCATATAAAGATTTTTGTTTTTATAAACCTTATCCCCCCAACACACTTTTTTTTTTTTTTTTTTCCCTCACTTGCATCATTTGGTCTAAATAAATCTACTACTTCTTTCTGCACACCGGTCCTGAATTTCAGACTTTTTTTTTTCTTTTTTGAACATCCAAGACTCTTTGCAGGGCTCTGCTATCTTTTGAGGAAACATTCATATTTCCATATCGTTTCTTTTCAGAGTTGCTTGTTTTTGAACTTTTTGACCTTTATTTTTAACCTTTGCTCTGCCGCAACTTAACTTGGTTAACAGTTCATGAGTTATTTTATTTAAAATTATCGATATCATTATCTTTCATTGAGAATGTGTGATGCTTTCTATGATAAGATCACATTTATTGATAACTTTAAAAAATTATAATTGTTGTAAATAGGTATGAGGCTGAAGGGCTTTTTTCATTTTATCTTTTTGGTTGTTTTTTCATTTTTATTTATTATAAATGGTTGCTAACTCCTTAGGATTTTTTTCCTGATTGACAAGCTTTTCAAAGATGATATACAGATTTATGCAGAATTCAGTTGCTATTTGTATATTAGACTCCAGTTAAGATGGTTTAGGTCTTACATTAGTGGGCCTGGCACTATTTTGCTGCACTGTTTTTCGTAGCAGCTTTGGAGACTTCTAAGATTTTAATGCAAACCAGACCTTGAGTAAGATGGGAATCAGTTCATGGTGTAATCTAGGGAAGAAATTATCTGTTTTCTGCCAGAAGATTTTTTTATTGGCTGGAAGAATGGGCTAGCCCAGTTCTCTGGTGCTCAGAGCACACATGGAGGAATTCCGTGTTGATGAATAGCATCTGTTTTCTTCCCTGAGCACCTTCTGCCAGGAATTAATATATGGTGCTGGGAAGGGAAGAGCAGGCAAGAGATTTGGGGGAGCACAGAGGTCGTATGAATGAGACTGCCAGTTTTCAGCAGCGTTACCAAGTTAGGTTTGTGGTTTTAATATAAACCTAACCATCAAATATGGAGTTCAGATAAGTACTGGAACTGCACTGTAATACTGAAAAGCAGATGATTTTCTGGTGTAAAATGCATAAATTGGGGCCAGGCATATGTTATCTTGCTCAGCTATAGACACCATGTGCTGCTTTACACAAGATACAAACAAGATATAAGCCTAAAATGTGGACTTCCCACCCCCCAAGGAGTCAAAGCTTTGGATTCCTGGGATTTGCTGCTGCCTCTATAAGGACAGCCTTGTTGAAATGGGTAACAGTGACGTCTGGGTAATGAAAAGCTAAATATATTTTTCCATGTACTCGTTGTTAACTGTTTCCACAGTGAGAGCTTTAGATAGATACAGGCTGTACCCTCCTGCGGTTCACAAGACGATTCTGAATGATAACTGTGCGTGCACTCCAGTGTTACGGAAAGTTAATTTCTTTCTTTTCCTCAAAGGCAGAGAAATTTGATTTGTTATGGAAGCGAGCCCAGAAATGTCCCTCTGTAAGTATGACGGAAACTTAGAAAGTGTGTACGTGTAACTGCCTTAAATTTCTCATGTCTAAAGCCTCATTCATAAACTTTTGACCTTGAACTGTTCTGACTTATGTGTTGATTTGATTAATACAAGCCAGGTGTTCAAATATTCAAATATTATCTTAGTGTTCAGATAAAAGCAGTGCTATTTGTAGCTATCAAGTGGTTCGATCTTGTCATAAGATGCTTGGGATTCAGAAACCAGAGAACAGGGAATGGATTTAGCTGCACACCCCTGGTTTCTAGAATTAATGTCTTGTGGTTCAGGCTCTTGCATGCAGTGTTGTGAAGAGCCAAACCTGGTCAAATTCATTGATGCTTTGGAGTATTTTTCCCTACTGCTTAAAGCATCCTTGCTGTGATCAGCCAGGGATCAAATCTAGCTTGATTACAGCCAGTTTGCTTTGCTTTTGTTTTGTTTTCTGACTGAATGTGGCCTTGTGTCCTGCACACAGAGCCCGTGTCCGTGACAGGCTTTGGTCAGGGTTGCTGAAGGGCAGCCCAGAGGAGCTGTTGCTTTGCTCTAGCTGAAGCGTCACCATTGCCTCTCTGCACCTGATATGAGACCGTGGGGGCTGGAATAAACACAGATTTAAAACAAACCCTGGACTGCACCCAAATCACAGCCCTGTCACACTGGATGTCTACAAAGGAACTTACTCTGGCACCCCAGTCCCCCTAAAACTGCTCATGAGCAGAGTGTTATAAGTGTGCTGAGAAAGTGTGTGCTTCTGTTTCATAGTTGACATGAGTAGCAACTATCTGTTTTCCGTTCACATATTTTAGTGCCAGGGAAGAAAGGCAGAAGTATCTTAAAAGGAAAAAGCTAAGAAATTGGTATGTTTGGGGTTCTGTCCACGTGACAGGCTGGAACTTGTAGCCCATAAACCTCCACTTCTTGATTATAAAAGAGCATTGCTCTGCATGCCTCCCCAGCCTGGCCACCTGAGGTTAGCAGATATTGATAAACAGGTAGGAGACCTTTGGCTGGAAGTCAAGGCGGGCAGGCAGCCTGCAGGGTAAATAATGCAGCCCTGTCTCTGAGGGACTGAGAGCTGTGAGGAAAAGGTCCTGGGTCACATACTGCAAAATCCAGGAGTGCAGGTTGGATTAAGGAGCGTTGTGATTCAGCAGCTGTGACGTGTGAGGAAGGGGAGATTTGGGTGTAGTTGAACCCTTTATTACAAACACCAAGTAAATACTCTGTGGGTTGTCGTGTATGGGTTTGACAGCACAAGAAAGCAGAAAATGGTGAGAGTATTATTGTATTGTTTAATGTATTATTTCAGAAATGAATGCATTCCCAAGCTGTAGGATCATTATTTCTCATGTAGGTTGGAGGTATTGTGTAGGCTGCAATTAGAAGATTCCTGTGTGGATAAGCATTACTGTTGCTTGGAAAAAAATAAACTGCAAAGGAGCAGAACAGAGCAGCTAACAAGATGAAGAGCATCTCTCTGCACTTTCCTACCACATGCTGCTGGATTAGTATTGTTTTCTGATGAAAATAAAGTGTCTTTACAGTAATGTGTGCATTGAAGCAAGGGCTTAGTGCAAATTGCACTGTGTTAAGACAGAAATTAAATGCTTCACTGCTTTATAAAAGCAAAGTCTAGCTAGACTTAGCTGTGTTGAAGAGGGATCCTTTTGTACTTCTGAATGGGAAACTTTACCAGATTGATGGCCTGATCCTGCATATCTCACTTGACAAGCTCAGTTATGCCTGGCATCTTAAAGTACTTGGGAAATTATTTATAGTTTTAAGTGCTTTGCTGTACGGTGCACTAGCATTCAGTTTGGTGTCTTGGTTGTTTTGGTGTCTGCTCAGGTATTGTCTGTTCTCTTGGTATGGGAACGTGGTGCATGAGCAAGTCCCTAGCCATATGGGAGCCAAATAAACTAAATCTCCCTAGAGAAAATGCTTGGTGCCTGTTCTGAAACAGTTGGTGAAGTAGCTGGCAAATTTGAAAGCTTTGAGTGTTTATATTTGACAATTTTTGCTGTTGATTTTGTAAAAATAAGCTGATAGATCAGAGTCTGAATGTTCTCTGCAGTGCTTTCCTTTTTTTTGATTAAAAAATATGCCCCAAAGTTAATGATTTACTAATGAACTAATAGCAATAAAGTAATGCTGTCTTTATTTTCAGTTTCTGTATGCTTTGCCAAGAAAGGAGGGCTATGAATTCTTTGTGGGGCAGTGGTCAGGAACAGAATTGCACTTCACCTCGCTTATAAACTTTCAGGTGAGTGATTAAAATGAAAAGTTTAAAACTAGCTTCTGCTCTGGAAATAGATAATATCAATATGATATATTTGCTAAATGCATAGATCATGTAGCTTAACTTGAAGAGAATGATCAGTGTACCATTAATTATGGGTGCTTAATAACTTTATGGGTACTAAGTTGTCCTTTAAAGGAGAATGATGTGAAGCAAGGGCTAGACTTCTTGGAACTATTTGCACAAACTACCTAGAAAAGCAGAAGATGCTGTGAAATCAGATGTCTTTCTGGAAAGTGCAAATTATCCAAATGCAAAGTGGTCTTCTCCAATCTACTCCAGGATTCTAACTCCACCAACCACTCTTTACAATAAGTGCTCACAATAATGGACTCTTGATTAAAACTGACCCTTGGCCTCTGGAAAACAGCTGTGTGCATAGCAAATAGTACTCAAAAGTTTTGTAACCAAGTCTTAAAATATGCAAGAAAGCTAACTTTGTGTGGGACACAAAGAGGTTTCTTTTTCTCCTTCAGACCCAAGGTGAAAATGCTCCTAGCCACTTGGTCTTGTACCATTATCCTGAGCTGCAGAAGGAAAAAGGAATAGTACTAATGACAGCAGAAATGGACTCCAAGTTCTTGGTAAGAGATGCCTAGTTGTTTTCTTCCTTCATTTTATGCTGCAACTTTTCCTATAGTTTTGAATTAAGAACAAAAAGTCAAACATTGAAGTGTAAAGTTTCCAAAGAGCAATTAAAATTAAAGATTCTTCCTCAAAGATTTTCGTCACTAGATTTCTTTACCCAAATCCATTTAATAAACTAAGGAGAGGAAGAAAGAAATCAACAGTCTTTGACTGGTGCATGCAGTTTTTATGTATTTTTTCTTACACTGGCTATTATGATTTATTGTTTTTTTCTAATTTTTTTCTAATTTTTTTCTATTTTTTTTCTAATTTTTTTTTCTAATTTTTTCTATTACTAAAAATTTAGAAATGGCTCTTTTTCTCATTAATGGAAGAAATTTACGTGAAGAAGTTGTTGCTACCTTGCTGTTGCCAACAAGTTAAAAGAACATTCTGGGGCTTAATGCTGTAGGCTGCTGCTCAAATGGAGATCTCCAGATCTGGATTAATTCTGTGTTAAGTTTCCTTGTGCATCTGCCCTTTTTCCTGTGATTTTGCTGCTATTTGCATATGTCTGATAGAATAGTGTTGGGACTAATAGCAGGATTATTGCTGGTGGAACAAGATAATTAAAGCATCCTAGCTCTAATTGACCTGCTTAAATTAGTTCTGCAGCTGTGTGCAGAGGAGATGACCGATAACGCGTTTGGCCTGTTGCAACTCAGGGCACACAGTCATTTTGGCAACATAACTTAGGTCAACCTAAGTTTCCCTAATAGGAAGGGGAAGTTGGGACTTCTTTCCAGTGCCTTACAGTGAGCAGGGACCATGAAAGACATGGTGAGTCTTTGACCTCAGATGTGTGCTCACCTGGAGACTAATCTATAGACACTGTACTACACATTAAAGTGTATAAGGAGGTTTGCAACAGTGGGTTGCAAACAGTTTTGTGAAGAGATTCACAAAACAAGGACAACTGGGAATTGAGTCGTTTGATGAACAGCAAGACTGGATTGCAGCCTTTCAGTCACTTGAGGAGCCCTTTTCAAAGGGAAACTTTAATACAACGACGAACCAGCAGTTTGTAACAGATTTTTTTGTTTTAACTTCCAGGTCGTCCATGAAGCGCAGTGCTTGGCGAATCAGGTGCAGCTTTTCTATGCAACAGATCGTTCGGAGGCCTATGAATTAGTGGAGATCTTCAACCACAGACCTAGTGAATTTAAATACATGTCCGTGATAGCAGAGCTCGAGCAGAGTGGACTTGGAAGAGGATTGAGACCTACCCAGGATTGTGACAAGTCATAAAACCTGCTCTGTGAGTGAAGGAAGCCAGAGGAAGTTGGAGGGCTTCCTGGCTGGGGCAGTTCCCATCTCTTTTGTTCTACAAAGTTGGTCTGACAGCAGAAAGGATCAGGAGACATCCCAGGAGTGTGGCAGTCAGGCTGGTCTGGCACTGATGCCAGATGACAACTTTTGTCATTCAGGCAGCATAACGAATTGCCAAAATGGAACGTTGTACTTCCGTGTAAATTCATCAGGATGAGCTGTTTTCCCTTCCCATAACTGCTGCATGCTTTATTTTGAAATCTGGAATAAAAAGACGAAAGGGGAAACTATTTAAAGGAGCGTACTATTTAAAGGAGTGTATTGACATCGGGAGAGAGATAACAATCAATATTTCTTCCCAGTAAATGCATTTTAAATGCCTTCCACCATTGTAATTGCATGCTCCAGTGCTTTTTAATTTGTGTGGAATTCATGCAAACCCTTGTCCATCACGGAAAGAGAGCAGGAGTGGTGATCTAAAACAGACTCCTCTTTGTTGCTTTGTCTTGGGTTTTTCTCAGGACTAAAGAACTCAGTGATTTAGATTTGCTCTAGGAATGTTATACTTCTTAATTGGTATATTAATATTATCCAGTTGCTACATCTCTTAGAGGTATTTATCTTGTGGAATAGGATATTATAACCATGATTTTATTTCTGTGTATTTTGGAGTGCTGTTGAGTTGCTGCGCGCTTCACAGAATAGTGTTTCTCAGATAGACATCTCGTCAGCCAGGCCTGCAAACGCTATCCGAAGGGACAAGGCCAAATCAACTCTTGTTCAGCTCTCTCCCCCATTTCAGGAGAGCTGCAATCCGTAATAAACTCCCTACGAGATGGTGTTAATAACTCTCATGGAGCCACCAGCCAGTTTCCCAGTTGCTGAGCAATAACTCCTAGGAAAAAAAATGCCCTGATGTGGGTATGCAGAGCTGCTCTAGCACAGCAGGACGGGTAAGAATCTGGCTCAGGCTGCAGGGCTGGTTTTTGAATGCCCCTTTGGGCAGGATGCCCAGGGTGGCGGCGCCGCGTGCCGCGGCTGGGCTGGCGCGGCCGCGCGGTGGCAGCAGAGCCCGGGCCGTGCCCAGGGCCTGCCCTGCGCCACGCGCGTGCCCGGGGCTCCGGGCGGCTGGGCAGGGAGTCCTGCCCCCGAGCCGGGCTGTCTGCAGGCGCTGCTGCGAGGACAGGCAGACCCCATGGTCCTGCTTTGCAGCCCGCCCTGGTCCCTGGCAGCTTCGGCACTCCTGGGTCTGCGCCTCCTGCCATGGAGGCAGAGGCTGCAGGGCCCAGGGGTGGAGGAGCGGCCTGTTCCCCAGCTCCCCACGGTGCCGGGGCAGGGCGGGTGCAGCCCGGCAGGAGGGAGCCCGTGGGGCGGCCTTGCTGCTCCCAGCCCCTTTCCCACAGGGCTCCTGTGGGAGCGTGGCGCTGCTGGGCCCTCCTGCCCTGTTTCCTTCCTCCCCAATAAACCCAGCACCTGCTTTCCAGAGCTGGACCAGACCCCATGCTTCCTTCCTCAGGGCAGACCAGTGTCCTCCTCGTGCTGACACATCCCCTACCTCCCCGCAACGATTTTCTCTCTGCCAGACGATTCCTGTGGCTCCAAACTCCTTTCCAAGGGTGGGAGGACCTCATCTCGCCTGCAAGTAGTTTGGCTTCATCTGCCTGAATATAAATTCTGGCCGTGAGTTCCCTCCTGGGTCCCTAGCCCTTTTTACAACGCTTCTTTGCTCTACATCCAGGCCTCCTCAGACAGCTTTTTATGTTTTGGACATGCTTGTGTTTTTGCTAGGGTTTCCTCTGAAGGTTTCCTCCTGGCTTGGCCGTGGCTTTGCAAGTTACATCTGCTGAGCAGACGTCTGCCTCCGCCCCCGGTCACGAGGGCTGAGGATGTTCTGTGGTTTCCTGCGTCGCCCGAGGACGAGCACAGGCTCTAGTGCCCGAGGTCCTGCCGGTGCTGAGGACAGCAGGGTTGCGCAGAAGGAGCCAGGCTTGTTCCTGACACGTGAGCGGGGAGCATGAGGCGTTGGAGGCACTCAGAATCGTTATGCTTGGAAAAGACCTTCAAGATCATCAACTGCAACCCCATTCCTTCTCCCAGCCGCTGCCAGTTTAGCTCCTTGCTGCATGTCCCCATCCCGCGTCCCCTCCATCAGGAGCACGAGGCAGGGGTTTGCACAGCGGTGTGTAGTTAGCCAGGCTGGCCAGCACGTCCGCCTGCAAAGGCTGGAGGTCTAAAGAAGGACCTGGGCTCTCTTCCCTCTGCTCCCTAGGTTTAAGTGCAGAGCTGAGGTGCTTTTGGGCATCGCTGCCGCCTCTGGCGCAGAGCTCCGGCCTCGTGCACCGTTGCCTCTAGGCTGTTTGGAATGAGCAAAGCGTACGGATGTACTCGGCAGCCGTGGAGGAAGAATAACGGAGTGAATGCTGCTCTCCCGAGCAGAGCGTTGCTGCTGCTCGTGGTGCAAAGTCTGCGCCTCCCTCCCTGCTGCTGTGGCACCAGGCCAGGGTAGAACCGCCCTGCAGCCATCGCTCCTTGCTTGATCCCGGGTCTTCTCGTGCCAGTTCTTCGTGGGAAACAGCGCAGGCATTTCGCTTTAGCTCTGCTGATCCGAGATCTCGTGCTGCCCTTTGAACTGCTCCTCTTGCGCTTGCCAGCTCCTGAAAGATGCTCCTGAAAGATGAAGCTGCTGCAGCCTCTCGTGATGCAGAGGAAGGTACAGAAGGCCACCAAGAACCCCCTTGGCTCTGCACCAGGCAGGGGCTGGGCTTGTGCAGCAGGAACAGCCTGATTATGGGGCTGAAGAGACTGCTGTCTCTGTCCTGTAATAGCAGGGATCCGGGCCCCGGTGCATCCAGCTGACATCCTTTAGCATCTTGTAGCTTTAGCCGTGCTCATCCAAACCTCCCTCTCTGCAGAAAGCACTTAAGTGGGTGTACTTAAGAGCACTTGGCCCTCCCATGGTATGTAGAACTGCCTGTGCTTATGGCTCTGCAGGTCTCTTGTTGCAAGGATGGGATGAGAGATGGCATCTCCTTCACTGTCGCAGTAAAGGGGATCGTAGGGATGAGCAATGGAGGCAGATAAATCTAGGGACAGAGAGGGAATTGGGCCCAAATTCCCCAAGTGCAGGCTGAAGCCATGAGGATGGTCCTGCTTTTTCACTTACAGATGTTGTGGTTTCACATGGCACCAGCAAATCCTGTCGCAGCAGAGCCTGGCCTGGGAGGCAGGGAGGCTGGTTTGGGGGTTTTACCACAGAGCATTGCAGGACAGCCTGAATTTGGGCAACTGGTTGAAAAAAGGAAACCAGGATACAGCTGTGGTGATGACAGTTGTTCAGGGGCTGAGCTTGGGGAGATAAGAGCAGCCCAAGGTGGGGGAGAATTAATCTCAGCCAACTCAGAAACCCTATTGTGAAAAATTGCAGCTGGTGACACTGAGAGAAAGAAGAACCGCTGCAGAGGGGCTGCCATTGCCTGCACCTCTGGACGTGCCTTGCCTGCACGTCTGCCTTTAATCATTTGGGGCTACGTTTCCTTCATGGAAGGAAATTTCCTTCAGCCGTGTCCCAAGAGCGCAGGATAGGAAAGCAGAGCGCTCCTGGATGTGCCAAAACCAGTTAGCAGCTACTCAGCCCTGCTGGGACCCCAGCTCTCCCACCCCCAGGCTAAAGCCAGCTGATGGTCCCTGTCCATGGATGCTGTAGGGCCCCCCGTGTCTTCCTTACTCCCTCAGGGGCTGTTGGCTTCAGGGGGCTGGAGCTGGTGCCCAGCGGGGCTGCTCCACACTCCAGGATGGTTTTTGCCATCACTCGGTAGGCAGCATTATTTTTTAGGGATTCTCTCTGATCCTTGAGACTCTAGGGTGTCATCGCTAACGGTGAAGCCACGTTACAGAGGATCTGATCCCACCGTCCCGCTGATGCACGATCCCCATGGGATCTGAATGCAAAGTCCATGGCCAGTGCCCGCCGGCTGCTCCCCGGAGCAGCAGCAGGAAGCCTGAGGCTGCCTTCAGGCTGTGATGTTGGCAGGAGCCGCAGGTAGCAGGGCTCAGGGAAGCCAAGCCGTCATCCTAAACCTTCGGTTCAACACAGCCAGGCTCAGCTACTAGATCTTCCTGTCGTCCCATAGCATTTACAGGGGAATCCCGCAGAGGTGCGAATCCCCTTTGCTGTTGCTCCAACAAATAAACAAAAAAGGGAAAAAGGAAAAAAAAGGAAGGAAGATGGGGCACCTGTGCTGGCAGGTGGCAGCAGCTCTGCCAGTTTGTATGTGAGGGGACACTCTTTTACACCAGGCTAGACCTGGAGACAGCACTTCTGGAAACAGGGATGCACTGGCATGGACAAGCTCTCCTGGCCTCACTCGTGGGGACGGTGCTGCAGCTCCAGAGGGCTGTGGTTTCCTTTCTCACGCTCTCACTTGCTGAGCTGGGACTCTCCCGGGGCGCTGCTGTGGGTGCCTGGCCCCTGGATGCTCCTTGTGCCCCTGGCTCCGGGCTCTGTCCACCCTCTGCCTGAACCAGGCACGGAGGAAGAGGTTGGAACGTCCTCTCCTGATCCTGAGCCTTGGTCCATAGCCCTCACGTCTCAGGTGCGTGAGCTTGGTCCAGCCTATATTTAATACATAGCGAAGCCCAGCAATAATTCCCTAAATGTAACTGTCCTGGTCCTGATTGCTTTTTCAAGCGCTTCCAGCAAAGCCTGGCCTCAAAAGGGACCCAGCATCAGGAGCATGCCTAGGGAGATGGATTCTCCTTTGGGAAAAGCCCTTTGCAGGCCCTTGTGCTGAGGAGGGATGTGCTCTTGCCTTCCTCCCATTAAAACAGCTGCCAGCTTCGTGCTCGTGTGGGACTGGGAGTTTCAGCCCCACGTGGCACCGGGCTGCACTCCTGAGCACTGTTCTCCTGCCAAGTCATCCCACGCTGTCTGCCCTTCTTATTATTATTATTTTCTCTCTCCGCGCCGAGCTTGCTGGCTCAGGCTTTCTCTTGCTGAGTGGTATTTAAATATCGCAGCTTCATAACTCACCCCACCTCCTGGCCCAACAAAAGCCTGTTAAGTTGTTCCCTGTGCCGTGAATTTCCTTCTTTCTCTCCTCTTTTTCTGGCGAGCATCCAGCTTGCGCGGGGCCTAAACCCCGGGGCTCCCCGCCTGTGTTTGAAGGTGCGCGCGGGGGAGGGATGAAGGGGGAAGAGACGGCGGGAGAGGAGACAAAACCCTGCCGGATTTATTCCCCCCGCTTCCCGCGGCGGAGCCGTGGTGCTGCGCGGAGCCGGCGGCCGGGCCCGCGGCCCGAGGAGGAGCTCAGCGCGCAGGAATGGTGCGTGCGTGGCGGCCGGGCCGGGCGGCGCGCGGGGCCGCTCGCTCGCTCGGGGACAGCGGCACGGTCAGGATGTGACATCAGCGGCGGGGGGGAAAACCAGCCCTCTGGGTCTGAGTTTCTGCAAGGAGAGGGCGGCCATGGGGCTGGTGCCAGCCCCTCCGCCGGCGCGCGCGGCCATGGGGCGGCCGGAGGGGCCCTGACTGCCCCAGGGGTTCCCCTTTCTTGGGGGGTTTCTTCAGGAAGGGCAGAAGGAGCAGCGGCGCCGGCAGCCGGGTGGGCCGCGGGGTGAG